CGAGAGAGATGTGAACAAGCAGTATGCGCTGACGGGTCTCGAAGGGCGGATGGTTACACTGTGGGCGCGCAATGCGCCGACTGGGGTCCCCGGCCAGACGGTCTTCGTCCACGGCCCGGCAGTGACGATGATGTCTGTGGCGAGGACGGACTTCGATTCGTTTGTAGAGGTATCGGTATATCTGACCGTGTGCTCTCCTCCATCTCCAGGCGCAGGTTCGATCTTGCTGACGCTCCCCAGGATGAGTCGGGCGCCCTTTTCCTCTGCAAGCTTTGCCATCGACGTGGTAAACTGATATGGATGGACCTGCGCCGTGTCTTTAGGTGAGCCCATCGATTCATAACCCAAGACACACTCTTCTGCGATCCAGTCGAGATCATCCGGGAGGCCCATGCTGCGTAGATTGGCGTAGGATTCTTTGCTTCGCTTTTGGAGACTGACGCGGGCGGGATCGATGTTGCCATCGCTGGCAACATCTGCCCGGTGCACTCCTCTGATATGCTCACCTGTGCCTATGCCGGTTCCACTTACTTCGCCATCCACTGGTCCTTTCTGGGTTATCACCTTCGCCTGGCTACTGACATGCCGTCCCTTCATCTCAATCTGGCCAACGCCTACGCCTCTATAGCCCCATCTCTGCTCCCCTCCATGTTCCTTGGCGAGTTCAGAATGTAACTTGAAACTCAGCGGTACCAGGCACGACGGATACGCCCATAAAGCCAACAGGCCACCGGCCTTGCCCGACGCACCGCTGGCGATCCCTGTTGCCTCAACAAGATGGATCGAGTGCAAATCTGGGTTGTATTTGGGATGGCGAGTGAGGAAGTAGGCAGTCGTGCAGCCAATAATGCCGCCGCCGACAATCACTATTGACCTTTTCTGCTCGCGCTCGGCCATACTGACATGCCAAAAATACGGCTTTGAAGGCGACAGAAGAGGCGAAAAGGGTCTGATATACAGAATCCAAAGTATCTCCAATGACCTCACACGTTCATCGGCTATTCCCCGCCAATCACAATCTTCCAGTCACGTTTTCTGTTATTGAACCATACCACATATAAACACATGTCTCGTTGTCCAAGTACTCCGTATATTTAGATACAGTAGGAGACTTTACACACGTGACCTTGGAGTTTGCGGGATCCTTAACAGTGGGAAGGGGTCCAAATAACCGACGATATCAAGTCAATCACTCTTATCCAGAAACTGCCGTACTGCGATACACTGCCTAGGTGAAGAGTACATAGCCTGTATAGATGTCGGTTCAGGACATTTCATCCAACACCCATAAAGCCACAGCTTCTCGATAAGCAGATCAGTCAAGCAGGTCGAGCGTCGATACCTCCTCGTAAGCGATATCCTCCCTTTCCACACCCCGCGATAGCTCGTAGGTTAGGACGGTCATATCCATATATGTCAGCATGAGCCTGTACCGGCGACTGCTTTCCAAGGCCTGCCATGGCTCTGGGCTTGATGGAACTTCCCAATCCCGTAACTCGGCCCTGATCCTCCTCCCAAAACCCCTTTTCCCGGGGTCATGAGACGGGCGTTTCCTCTTCGTCCGCGGTCGATTGGTACGCTCCCCGGAGTCCGCATCCACGTTCGAGGGCTGGGAGTCGTCTTCCTCGCCACTGCGCTCATCGACGACAAGCACGGTATGGTCAAATGTGGTTGGAATTCCATCCACAAGCCCGTCCCTTCCCCACTTTGTTGACTCGTCAGATTCTGATCGAACTGCAAATTCATCCGTCCTAAAGCAACCCTGGACTGGCGAAGCTGCTATCCCAAGCAGTGGCCCAAATGGTCGAAGTCCTTTCCGCTCTTGTTTCTTGGTTGGTAATATCCAGCTCACTCGCAGGCCCAGTGTTCCGGTTTTCTCATTCTTCGTCAACGAACAGACTGCACATCGGCCGATCTGGGTCGCGACGATAACAATGCCCAACTCAGGGATTTGCAGCATCATGTTGAGTCTATCGATGTTGGCGTGATTTGTGCTCTGAATGATAGGAGGCAATGCCTGTTTGAGGATGTTGGCACAAAAGACGTGTGGGGAATCGGCTTTTGGGGCCATGAGCAGTCTTAAATTCGACAGGCTGCAATGGAGAGTGGGTATACTGGGTGGATTGGCCCTGACCTCGGCTCTGAGAACTGTCGAAGCACTGCTCTCGATGACAGGCTTGGGGATTTTCAATTCAGTGTGTTGGCTTCCGCGCAACGGAGAATCCATGTCAGATGTGGACATGACATCTACGTCAATCTCCTGGCTGTTTCGGTGTGCGAGACTTGACAGTGATGTAGTACTTCGCCGGCTGGTGGAAGAAAGGTCAGCATCCTCCACTTCCTCCGAGCTGGAAGGATATTGCAATTCTTCCTCTTCGCTCTCCTCGGAGTCCGTGTCAGCCTCTGCGAACTGCATATATTCCAGCGAGAGAGTGTCTCTTTGAGGTGTTGTAGAGTTATCGCCAATGTCAACAGATCTCGCATTAGAACCAGAACCGGAGATAGCCTCACTGATTTCTGACTCGAGGTTGTCATGGGTGTCTTCGGTGGTCCAAGTGCCGTCCTCCGAGGATCCATCATTACCGTATCCAAGATAAACTGGGAGCGAACTCGTATTAGCCTCAGCATGATCTGCGTCGACACTAGCTTCTTCCATATCAGACCAAGAGTCAAACGTCTCCCGGACTTCATCACTATCGTCGTCGTCGTTCCCTCGGTCATCATACATGATAAAGTGTATGTGACTATTGCTAGGCGTGCGAAGTCGGACAACATTAGTCAGGTCGTAGCTTTCCAGGTTGTTATGTCCATGATACTGGGGAACCTTGAAGTATCCGCAAAATTGCTCCATTGTCCTAGCTGGCCGGAAGGCGCGAGGATCTAGGGCAGCGACAAGCCAGCCGCCTTCCCGCCTTCGGTAAGCGTTAGCACGCATGCTCCTTTCCGAGAAATCCCAGGCCTTGTGGCAGATCCCTTGCCAAATCTGCCAGATCTTCATCTCACCATTGATGGCGGTGCTCAGGAGCCAATTGCCCTCCAGGTCATCGTCTGTGTTTACAAAGGATATGCAGGGGATGTTATGGTCGTGGCCGTCAATACCACCGAGAGTGATTTTGTAATTTTTATTCCGCGGTGGAGCGGTAGCATCAAGACCTATTGCCATCCATTCTTGCCAATCTGTTTGTTTAGCATGATCGGACTGCTCGGAATCATCGTCGGACATTCGATCCTCGTCGTCCCTCCCTCCGTTGCCCGCGTCTGTCAAGGCGAAGGCAAATACAGTGATTTTAGCACAAGGATCATCGTCTGCAACGTGGTGAGGCGTGTTCGCCGATACGGCAATCATTCGGGCATTGGTGTGGATGGCAAGGCCCCAGGCAGATTCATGAACCCACTGCGTGAAGAAAGGCCAGACGCCGACACAGTCACTCCGACCATCTGTGCTGAAGCGGTACGGGTCTTTTCGAATGGCTTCAAGAATGGACTTGGTATAGTAGGCGCAAACGTTGCCGGAATCGGTTGCCATGAGGAGGATCTCCTCTTTCCCCAAGTCTCCCACAATCAACTGGTTGATTCCATGAGGAAATTGGGAGTCAATGTAGCCGGCAGCACCCGGATTCGCCAGCGAAGGCACAATGAGGAGAGCAGGTAGTCTGTAGAGTTTCTGAAAGGGAAAGTCAGGTCTGTAGACAGCAACGGTATCTCTCGTTGCGATAAAGTAGAGATTGAAGCGTTGGGACAAAGCAGTCAAATTGTTCCGCCAGTAAGACAGAGGTGGAGGACAGGGGGCTCCATCGCGTAGGAACCTTTCAGCTCCTTTCTCGATGCTAGTGAAACCAATGTGAACCGACTCGAATAGCCTGCTCTCTTCGTCCATGCTTCTGCAGAACGTCCCAGGGTTTGGTTGTGCCAACCGGTGCTCTGTGTTCAATAGAATGGCAATCTTGCTTGCCGCTCAAGGCATGGCGGAGTGTGTCTGCCACCGCAACAACGCGTGTGTTCTCTCTTTATCTTGGTCTAGAGGGGTTTGAGTTCGTCCGGAGGAGGTTCAGATCCTAGGAACGGATGGAGGTGCAGGCGCATGAGCGCAGGTATATCGAGAGGGAGATTTCGGCTCGCTTCACCTTGCCTGCAACTCACCGTAGATGTCAGCGGCTGTCGTGTCTGTGTGCGAGGAGGACGAGGAAGAGAGGGAGGAAGGGGAGGTGAATAGGTTTGACCATCGACTGTCAATTGTGGGTGTTGCTATTACTGCAGACCAGTGAAGGCAGATTGACAGCTGGGACACCAGAGAGACCGAATACTTGCCGTGGCAGCAGTAGTACGGACAGAGAGTACAGCGAGTACAGTGAAGACAGGACATGAGGTGGAGTGACAGAGAGATGACGCATTTCATGTGCAGCGCAGTCACCGAAGGCTGGTGGGCGGAACGAAGCGAATGGTGGGCGACAAAGGCAAACTACTCGTGCACGAGTCTATCTCACATTTTATTCTTCCTTCTTCAGAGAGACAAGAGTACATCCGACTCCACCGCTTCCACCACCGCCATCCCACTCATCCTGGTCTACCGAGTAGCCGATGGATTAACTCGCACGCCGACACCTTCATTTTCTGATCGAGGTTGGCAACACAGAAAGCCTCGATTCGGCAAGTATTGCATACACAACCGGCCACCTCTGCGACGGCTCGACTCATCCCCTGAACCCCTGGTCACATTCTGCGACCCTGCACGCCATATACATCCTCTCGCATGCGACTTATCATCTACCTGATTCATGCATAAGAGCAGTCCGCCCTCGGCAAGTGGCCCTTGATTGATCTGTTCCGTCCAAATTTGCCTCAGCATCTGCCGCGGCGGTGACGCGTGGTGGTTACACAGCATATCACTACCAACGTTCCCGCTGAACCTTCTAACCGCAATCTCATTTCTCGGCTTCAATTCAGCTCGACCTCTTCTCCATCTTTGACATTGTCTCTACCGTGCTTGGCCCAGCACAACCATGGATTTGCTGGCTACGGTCAGAAAGGAGGGTTCGCGAGGGGGCCGAGGGGAGTTCAAGTGGTCCGACGTCGAAAGCTCTTCTCATCGCGAAAATTATCTCGGTCACTCGCTGATGGCGCCCGTCGGACGCTGGCAGAAAGGCCGCGATCTTACCTGGTACGCAAAGGGCGACGCGGATTCACAGGGCGATGAGGATGCCGCCGCAAAGGCAGCGAGAGAACGGAAAGAGGAGATCCAGCGAGTCAAGCAGGCTGAAGAAGATGCCCTCGCTCGAGCTCTGGGGTTGCCTGTGCCTCAACGGAGCAATCCGAATTTGGATGAGCTGGGGGCCCGACGCGAGGTCGACAACGTTTTGAAAGAGGCCGCAGCGGGCGAGGATATCGCATCTCCCAGGGGAGTTGGTTATGGGCGAACGGCCAGGGTCTCGGCTCCGAGTGAGGGGAAACCTAGTGCTACGGAACGCCTCGAAGGCGCCCTCACAGATCAGGACAAAGAGCTTCATTATGCACTCAAGGAATACAGGCGCCGCCACGGCGACCGAAAACACAGAAGCCGCAGCCGGAGTAGACAGAGACACAGAGACAGCCACCAAAGAAGACATAGGGATGACCGACATCGACATAGAGAACGCCAATCTCGATCCCCCCGGCGAAACAGGTCTGACCGACTGCGATCAAAATCACCTTCACCTGCTCGAGAACGTGATCGTTATCGTCGAGAGCGGTCTAGAAGCACCTCTCCATTGAAGCGCCGCCTTGAAGGCAGCCGGGGTGAGAGCGAGAGAGGATACGAACGAGCTGGACGACGCTGAATCCTGATTGCTTGAAAGCGCCCTGGAAAATACTTCCGCCGATCCATGATCAGATGCATGCAGCTATCCAAGGTCAAATCTCTCCACTATCTCAACCCCAGTGAAGCATCGAAGATGTCACTCTCAAGGTCCTTGATGTCCACGTCTACTACACTTGCCGCACGTCCCGGTCCACTGGCACCCTGTCGAGCGGCAATATCGGCTGATGCGCTAGTGTCAACAAATTCCTCCAGTTCCTCGCTCACCGTTTTCAACTTCTCTTTCACGCTCGCCACTCCTTCAATCCCGACGATGTGACGAGCAGGCGGATTTTCATGACCACCAATGGCTGTCAACGCATGGACAGTCTCTGCAATCAATTTTTCTGTGTGTGCATGACTAAGGGGAGGATACAAGCTGACTACCTCGTCACGGCTAAGAAGGTAAGGGCCACTCTGCCTCTCCGCTTCTGATGAAGGCGACTGAATTTCCGTTTCCGGCGGAGGCGGATATTGGGCTCGAATACCAGGAAGGCGATTCAGCAGGCCGTCCAGGATTCCTCGAAATATTGGAGCCGTGTGACCGAATTCTCGGGTATAAGCTTTCATTGGGGGCGCTGAAGTGATCTTGTTGGTCAGGATTCCAATCTCGACGCTGGCTTGAACAATGGTCAATTTGATGTTGAAGGGTGCAATTTCATAGGCGATACTGTCACAAAAGCCTTCCAGTGCCCACCCAGACGCACAATACATGCTCAGTCCCGGTGTTCCGAGGTGACCCGTGATGCCAGTCAGGGCGATGATGTGACCGTTCATCTGCGAGCGCATCTGAGGTATGACAGCTTTTATGATATTCATGGGGCCAAAGAAATTCTTCTCGAACTGATCGCGCACCAGCGTCAGGGTTCGCGAACTGGCTGAAAGCTCTTCGACGGTCCCAACTACTGCTTCGCTGGTGCAGCAGAAGAGGATGTCGATCTTTCCAAAGGTATGCACGGCCTCTGCAACAGCCGCCTGACATTGCCCAACGACCCTGTCTCCAAGTTAATTTCTGCCACCTTGTAGAAGACAGACGCAAATAGAACCTAAGTTGTACAATGTCATTTGGCAGAGGCAAAGGCCACAGTACATACCTGATATCCAAAGCCACAACTTTTAACCGCTCCTTCATCCCAGGTGTGCGTCCAACCTGAGACAGGAACCTCTTGAACTCCTGACTTCGGGCCCCATCACTCTCGAACTCGGCTTGAATGATGCCGGAGACAACGTAGTCGCCGTGATCAAGCACCTGACGTGCAAGTGATATGCCGACTGGAGAGTCTCCTGAAGTCAAGAGCCAAATTCGAGGGGCATTATGTGTGGGAAACTGAGGCGTTGGTGTGCCCACCGAGCCACCATTTGCCATCGGTGCGCGCAACGTGAGCGTTGACTGATCATTGCGTCCTAGGACGCCATCTACGATGCCTCTTGAGGGAGGTTTTCAGCCGGCGGTCGAACAATCCAATAGAGAGTGCTGATTTAGCTGATATCAGAGCGATCAAGTCGTGGTCGAAAATGGCAGGCTTATTGGCCCGAAGATCGAGCTTGCGAGTCACGTATCGATGCCAAGACCTTCCGTCGACGGATTAATAATGTTCCGCACATCCCACTGGCCGAACCGCGGCCCACATGGACGGGAACCCAACCTCTCCATCACAGGTAGCAGAGTCTTGTTCTGCTACTCTGTCAAAGGAGACCCTATCCTCTGCTCAAAACAACATCTCCAGTGGCTCTGACAACCCAAGATGCCGGAGTCTAGAGGCAGCCGCACACCTGCCACAAGGGAGGAACAGGGGGGGAAGGTGAGAGACTCCAATCGACAGCGTGAACCTCGAAGTCCTGACCTCTCTGTAGTCCATGTTTCAAACGATCATTCAAGGTCTCGCCATATTCATGCTCACCCAGTTTGTTGTCAACCAATTCTTCGGCTCAAAATCACAGAACGGAGGCGCCGCCGCGCCCAAGCAAAATGTCAATTTCGATGAAAGAGCCGATGTGTCGGCCCTCACAAACTATTCGCATATCCCTCAAAACATTGCCCCGATATGGCCTGACAACAGCGTCATCGACGTTCGGATGTATGTGTCTCCGCAGCTCAGTCTTCCTGCCTTGTCGACCGTGCCAGAGGAGAGCCTGGTCTTGGACGAGAAGAGTTTTGGAATGGGGAATTATGAAGAAAACCGAGAGGTTCATACCCACATCGCCATACCAACTGAGGTACAGCATAACGGAACACTATGGGCTCATTTCTACGTCGCGCTAGCTGGCAGCGAAATTGACCCGACCAGCCCGAACTACGACCCACACAAAGCAACTCACTTCAAGAGGCCGCTGAACCAGTTCCTCCCCAAGAAAAAGGCTCGTAAGTTGAAGAACCTGCTCGAGAAAACCGAGGAGCCGGAAGAAGATGAACCGGAAGAAGTCCAGGGTGTGCAGATTGCTTCTTATTACCACCCCAACTTCACAGTCGCTGTGATCCCAAACACAGGTGTGCAAAACTGGCGTCAAATGCACCCAGCTCTCCGCAAGAATATCGTCCTCGAACCGACCGGACAACGCGATGCTTCGGGGCAAAATGGCTGGTATTATCCAGTGGTCTTCCTCAACACGTTCTGGCAACTGCGCAGCCACATGACTGAACTTAACGACACCGTCAAAGAAATGCCCCTGAACATCCAACTGTACAACCTGGCGAATTGGAAATACAACCTATTGGCATCTATCGACGAGGGAATGAAACAAAACCAGGCGCAAGCTGCGAGCGGCGCACCCATGCCCGGCGGCGGAGACGGCAGCGAGTTCGAAAAATTTAAGGAAATTCTCTTAGACACCAATGCCTACTTGTTAGGAACCACCTTCGTCGTCAGCATCCTCCACATGGTCTTTGAAGGCCTCGCGTTCAAAAACGATATTTCTCACTGGCGGAAGAAGAAGGACAACGTGGGCACATCTGTTCGGACCATCCTTGCGAACGTGTTCATGCAGACCATCATCTTCTTATATTTGGTTGACAACTCCGAGAACACCTCGTGGATGATCCTCGCCTCGCAGGGCTTCGGCATCTTACTTGAGGCGTGGAAAATAACAAAAACTGTTGATGTGCGCCTGCGCGAACCGGGCCCGGATTCGAAGTTTAGGGGTATACTACCTTATGTGGTTGTGTTTGAAGACAAACATAAATTGACCGAGAAGGAAAAGCAAACGCAAGAGTACGACCAGATTGCCTTCCGTTATTTATACATCATTGCAGTGCCACTACTGCTCGCGTACGCGGTCTACAGCCTCATCTACGAGTCCCACAAGTCATGGTACAGCTTCGTGATTGAGACATTGGTGGGATCGGTGTATGCGTACGGATTCCTCATGATGGTGCCTTCTCTTTACATCAACTACAGATTGAAATCTGTCGCGCACATGCCGAGCAAGGCCCTGATGTACAAGTTCCTCAACACGTTCATTGACGATCTGTTCGCCTTTACAATCAGAATGCCAATTCTACATCGTCTCGCGACACTGAGAGACGATGTGATCTTCTTTGTCTGGCTGTACCAGAAGTACAAGTACAAGGTAGACTATTCGAGGGTTAATGAGTTCGGGCAAGGCGGCGAGGATGAAGACGAGGAAGAAGAGGAAGCGAAGAAGGAAGGCGGCAAGAAGACGACGACGACGGGCACCAAAGTACTCGAAAGTCAAGGTACCAAGGAATTGAAGCCCTCTGCTTCAGTCTCGAGTGCGAGTGGAGCCCAGGCCAACGCAGGCGCGAAGAAGAGAAAGTAGCCGAGCAGACGTCGATCACTGCCTCTCGGACAATAGGTCACGCCACTATATCAGAGTCACAGAATGCCAGGGCGACAAAAGAGAAGTTGAAGATAGGCGAGAAGGAGAGAGGGAAAGATAGCCGGGCGTTGACGTCTATCTGCAGCAAGTTCACTTTGCAGGCTCTTTTGCTCGTAAACTTCACACCTAGTTCGATGCGAGCAGCAAGGGCCGACAAGCCTGGGTTGCATCCAGTTCAGTTCAAGTCATGCGCCTTGGAAAGCCGCCTGGTCCCAAATCCCAGTTGCCTGTACTGCGCCCGGACCTCCAACTCTTGCCTATTGCTAATTGCTTCACCTTTCTAGCTATCGCTTGAGGCTCAAGGAAGGCGTCGATCGCTGTTTCAGGCAAAGCTAGGCATTTTGCGCTTGAGACCAAGTTTAGAAGCCAATAATGTGACAAGACGATCACAAAAGAGGTCAACTGCAAGGGAGGAGGGGAAGGGCAAATCCTGGCACGACGCACCTGCCAACAGAATTGTTTGCTAGGGAAAGATTTTACACAGAACTATTGTGTAAGTAACAAACAAACAATACATAACACCCCTGTGCTAAAAGAAAGAGAAAAGGGGCGAAGAAACTGAAACGGAAAAGGGATCCTCTCAAAAGTCACTCACCCACTATCTAAGTAGCGAACAGCCTATCCGGCATTTGTTTTTACTTCTGGCCAATCATGGCTTTTGTCTCCTTTCCCCCTTTTTGGATTCTTTTTCTACATACCCCATATCAAGGGCTTTTTTTGGACTCGTTCGAACAAATGGGCACGGGGCACAATGCACAAGGCAACCTACTCCTTGGTACTGAACAAAACAAATTGAAACGAAACAGAACGAAACCAATCTAACAGGAACCGAATCCAAGAGAGGACAGCGATAGGAAAGGGAATGAGGAAAAGGCAGATGAGACGCCTACCCTGACTCTGTTCTATCCTGTGCTGCCGGGAGGTCATTCTGCCTGGCCATTCCCTGGTCTATTCTGTCTTTGCCCCACACACTCTCTCCCGCTGCGGCAGGGAGAGTCAAACGAGAGTCAACACACCGACAGACAGGCAGACCCACAGGCAGACAGGGAGACATACTCACGGGCAAGCCGATGGACAAGTA